GTTGCCTGCTTTGAGCCTCTCCTTATACTCAGTTTCCACTGTTTCAGGTATATCTCAGTTTTTTTCAGTTTATTGTCATTGGTTCTAAAGATAGACCTAACGTTTGACTAAAATCCACACTCCTGACATCCTAACTTAGACATGTCACTTAGACCCTAATCAGAAATACCACTGGCTTGCCAAGGCACAGGCACACCTATTTATGCCTCTGGAGTACCCCTCCATAAAAATGCTTTTAATGTCCTCACACAATACTTGATGGTTTCTCAAATCAAGCAAGTGAGAACCAGGAGCAACAGACTGAACAGAACCTTATCAACAGAGGTTAACTATGAGATCTTTCCTGAAGCTAGCTGAAGAACCACTGTTAAGAACTGAATATTAAATCTTACTAGTCTAATTATTTCCTTTTGGTTCTTCAACTACTTTTTGTTCTTCTACAAAAGTGCTGGAAAGACTGCAGGGTTATTTTTTTGTGCAGCTTTGCAGGGTGATGGGTAGAAGGAGATTTTATTTTTGCTTCCATTCTATCTTGCAATTTTTCACAGTCCTGTTTCCAAAATCATAGGAAACTCACCATTGACTGTAATAATTTAATCACTCCATTTTGCTATGAAACTACTGAGACAGTAATTAACACCGACTTTCCCATTTAGTTTTTTACTATGAATGACAATGACATCTACTTCATCAGTCTATGTGCTGGATCACCAGAGTCTGTGTCCATGTGTGCACTACTTCACCAGTCTGTGCACATGAATGCTACTTTCCCAGTCTGTGTGCATGTGTGTGTGCTACTTCACCAAAGTCTGTGTGCGCATGTGTGCGTGCATGTGCTAATTCACCAGAATCTGTGTTTGCGTGCATGCGTGTGCTCCTTTACCAGAGTGTGTGTGTGTGCGTGTGTGTGTGTGTGTGTGTGTGAAGGAGAGAAAGTATGTCTCCACATTAGCCTGGAATTTGGCTGCTAGTAGTCAACTTCATTTAGTGATGCTTACCATTCCATAAAACTAGACTTGCACCACTGTCTTTTATTATACTGTAG